GTTTAAGATCTGCATGATGCCTCATTTTACGAATCTGCTTCCTGGCTGGTGGGGGCTCCAGAGGTGGTGGGGTTGGTTAGAGAGGATTATATTAGCCAGGAAAGCACCCTTGAGGGGGCGGCTGCAGACATACCAAGGGCCTATTTGTAATTGGCGGAGCTTGGCTGTGAGCTGCTGGGGCCGGGTGGCAAAGCCTCATTTAAAGCCTGGTATTAGCTCTGCTTTGCTGGAACATGGAGGGACGGGCGGGGGGCTCCACAGGGAGAATGGAGGGAGCTAATCACAGCAGCCAAGGCCGGCAAATGAATGATGCAGGAAATCAATACCTGGGTGTGGGAGTGGAAATCCGGGCAATGGTAGCAGCCGTGGCTTCTCTGGCTGCCCAGGAGGCAGAGGCGGGCCTGGGAGGAACGAGACAGAGGCAGGAGTGTGGTGCACCCTCCTCTCCACTTCACATCCTCCCCTTACTGCCCCCAGTTCTGCCTTCCTCAGCCCTTCCCACTCCAGCCTTGCATCTCCTTGTGGCGGGGCTCAGGGAGCCTAACCCACCAGCAAAGACAGGGGACCTGGAGATGGGATCTTGGGCCTCTCCGTCCTGGAAGAGACATGCCCCACCCCTACCTTGCCTCTGGACACAGTCTGAGTAGGCCCCAGGTGCAGGGGTGTGTACCTGAGGACCCAGCCCTGTGCACCTGGCACTGCCACTTCAGATATGGCCAGCAGGGGGCGGGCTTGGCCGCCACATTGCTTGTTGCTTTTCCTAGACTCTCTTGGCCTTAAGACTCCACAGGGATGAGACTTACTCTAATTCCTTAGCCTGGGGCCCAAGGGGACTCCCTAGGCCTTCTGTAGCTCCATGCCTCCCTCCAGCTCTCATGTTTCCCCTCCCAGTGTCCCAGGGCATTTACCTGTGGCCAAAGCTACACTTCCTACCCCCTAGGCCAGAGGAGAGCCCTATGGGGGGAGGCTCAGCTCGTGGGTTCCTGTCCAGGTGGGGCTGTGTGCAGAGCAGGGGCTCCTG